CTTGCTGGGTTTTTTTGTTGTTGTTGTTGTTTTTTGCGGTACGCGGGCCTCTCACTGTTGTGGCCCCTCCCGTTGCGGAGCACAGGCTCCGGATGCGCAGGCTCAGCGGCCATGGCTCACGGGCCCAGCCGCTTCGCGGCATGTGGAATCTTCCCGGACCGGGGCACGAACCCGCGTCCCCTGCATCAGCAGGTGGACTCCCAACCACTGCGCCACCAGGGAAGCCCCTCCACGTGCTTGTAAACACACCAGCTTTGACGGGGAACTCTTCCATTCTCCCAGAACCCTGTGTGATCTGAGTTCTATTCTCAACAAACTGTCAGGGCTTCACAACCTCCCTGCCTGCCTCTCCAAAGAAATTCAGAGGGTTCCAGAGGGAGGAGAGCCTGTTTCCCTTCACCTGTGACTTTGGACTTGGCAGAGCCCAGGCGCTCAGTGGGCGTCTTATTTTCGTTGACTTTGGTATGTCTGGAAAGCTGTGAAACCCTTCCATGTTCTCTGTTGAACTCCGCAGTGGGGTCTGTGTTGAGGCTTTCTCATAGCTCTGGGGATGCATGGTGAATAGAGCCCGCCAGACACATAGCCCCAGGAGACAGCTTTCTGGGACTTCTTGGTGGGCGGTGCAGATTAGAAAATTAAGGACCACGTTGGACTTGCTTTCTGAAAGGATTCTCAGTGTACACAGTGTCTCGACTGGCAAATTTCTTCTGAAATTTGAGTCTGCTCCCCTTTGCCCAGCCTTGTCGTCTAGAACAACCCAGTGCTTTTTCTCTCAATTACCATTTTATCTTCCTACGGGTGCCTTCTCCCTCCTTCCTCACTTCCTCCAAGCGTTTGAATTTTTGTAGTAAAACTTTCAGGTGGGTAGAAACTTTTTGTTTTTCCTTGAAAGAAACTTTAAAAAAAAAAAATCTGAAACAACCCAACATCACCTTGCCTTTAAATTTTAATAACATTTATACACTTAAAAAAAAATCTCAACAAGGAGGTTTTTGTCTTCTGTTCTTAGAAGTTCTTTTTTTTTTTTTTAAAGAATCCATTAAATTATATATTGCCTAAAACAGGTGGGCCTGACACTCTTTGAGAGACTGTCAAATATCATCAAGTGGGGAGAGAGCTGCGGTTGGCAGCCTTCTTCTGGCTGAGTGGGTGTTCGTAGGCAGAGAGCTGGGTGCTGTACCCCCTAACTGGAGCGGGGACCCTCCTTTTGTTGCTAATTTGGTAAAGACTGGAATGAGGCTCCCAGTGGGGGCAGATAAGTAGTTTTGAAAGTGGTTTGAGCAGCTGTTTTCAGGCACATTCATCTGGGGTTTAAGTACTCCACCTGCCATGTACTTGGGAACGGCAGAGACGTTGACTGACACTGTGTGTCCCACTGCCATGCTCTGTGTCTGCTTTAACTATGGTGAACTCATAGTGAGATGCACAGTCCGAACTGTACTTAGGACTAAGAATGAGGGATCCCAGCCTGGGTGGACCATCTGACCTTGAGAGTTTTAAACATCTCTCCCAGCATCCCGAAGGAGATTCCTGGGAGCCTGCAGACGCTGGGATCAATCCTGTCAAAGGTCACTGGACACTTACTGAGTGCCTGGCACTGCTCTGAGCACTTTAGATGTCTGACTTCATTTCTTCCTCACACCAGCCCTAGGCAGTGGTGACTTACCCAGGCAGAGGTCGGACGACCTGCCCGATGTCCCATGGCAGACGGGAGAGCTAGGATTCTAGCCAGGAGATGGGCCCCTGGAGTTTGTGTTCCTTATTCCTTCCCAACATTCTTTCAGTGTTCCGTGATGTCAGTGTTCAATAACAGTGATGGAATTATGCATTTTTTTTGTTGATCATTATAAGAAACTGGCCTGAGAGGTCAAGTGACTTACCCCCCATAATTTACTGCCAGGGCTGTGGCTAGAACTCAGGATTTGGGGCTCCCTGCGCAGGCCGTTTGCCATTCTGGCGTGTTTTCAGTGAATGTGCCTCACCTTTTTCTTTTTTAATTTAATTAGCTTATTTATTTTTGGCTGCATTGGGTCTTCGTTGCTGCACGCGGGCTTTCTCTAGTTGCGGCGAGCGGGGGGTGCTACTCTTCGTTGCGGTGTGCAGGCTTCTCGTTGTGGTGGCTTCTCGTTGTGGAGCACGGGCTCTGGGCACGCAGGCTTCAGTAGTTGTGGCTCGCGGGCTCTAGAGCGCAGGCTCAGTAGTTGCGGTGCACGGGCTTAGTTGCTCCGCGGCGTGTGGGATCTTCCCGGACCAGGGCTCGAACCCCTGTCCCCTGCATTGGCAGGCGGATTCTTAACCACTGAGCCACCAGGGAAGCCCCTCACCTTTTTCTTAAGAAATATTATGGATCATCTCAGTGACCTTCTTCGGCGGTTCCGTGGATGGGAGTGGCTGCAGCTGGGGAGAGGAGGACCTGGCTCTCGTGTCCTATGTGCAGATGAGCGATGATGGTTCCTTTGGCTAGAAGTTGATGGTCCGTGTCTCTGAACGTCCTCAGGCCTTTCATAAACCTTCTCATACTGTCTTGTGGACCAGAAAGAGAAGGGGTGCCTAGCTGAGGCTGTGATTGGTTAGTTGCACTCTTGTGCCCTTAAGGATGCTTAACTGATTTCCGTCTGGACAGAGATCTCTAGTGACCAGCCAGAGGACTCTGATCTCAGCCTTTACCCTTAATTACTTGGAGGTAAATGTAGAAGGCATGTTCATACCAGGACTTGATAAGAAAATTGTAAATATATTAATTAGGTGCTATACTTGGGACCCCACAGTGTCTTGATGGGCCTGGAAAGGTAGCCTGAGCCCTCACAACGTTTCGTTCAACACAAATAAAGTTATGCTTTTGGGTTGAAGAGACCCCCTGGGGCACAAAGATGGGATGGAGGCGAAGTGGTTTAGCAGATGAGGACAGGACCTGTGCATGGGTGTTGGTGTCAGTAGCTCAGATGTAGCTGCCAGAGGACTTCTGCCAGTAGCCAGCCAGACAGCTTCCCTGGCCAGGTGCAGCCCAGTGTCCTGTTGGGAGCACACTGCCGCTTGGAGGAATAAATCCAGCACCTGCAGTCGGGCCAAGCAGGTCCCAAATGGCCAAATGCAGAATTGGTGGTTGTGATCTAGCAGCATGCACGAAACAGACTTTAGGGTTTGGGTGGATTGTAAATTCACGGTGCTGTTGTTGCCAGAAATGCTAATTTGATCTTAAATTTTTTTAATGTAATGACTTCATTGTTTTTATAAAAATGATACATGACCCTTATTTTAAAAAAACAAAAAACAAAACTATGGCCATGGAGGAAAGTACAAACAAGAAAACAGCACATTGGTCCAAATCTTAGCTCCCAGAAATATTCCATTATAATATTTGGTAGACGGTTTTCCAGATGTCTCTGTGCACATTTTCAGACAGACTTGATAGCTCGAGAAATGTATAAATGGGCACTTTTATTAACATGTTCTATGCAAGATATTTTCAAAATAAAAATATATTTAATTTTACTTTCACTGAATGGAAGAATTGAAACTGAAGTGAAGCAATACTGAAGAAATTGCAGAACTTCAGATAACTGTTTCTTCACTAGAAGAAATCAGTTTCTCAGACATTCCTCTAAGGCAGTGGTTCTTAACTGGGGGTGACTTTGCCCTGTAGGAGCCATCTGGCAGTGTCTGGAGACATTTTGTCACATCCAGTGGCATCTGTGAATGTTCCTGACATCTGGTGAATAGAGGTCAGGGATCCTGCGAAGCACCCTGCAATGTACAGGAACCCCTCCCCCGCCCCCCCACCCCAGCAAAAGAAAGAAAGAAAGAAAGAATTATCTGGCTCAAAGTGTCAGTAGTGGCAAGGTAGAGAAACCGTGCTCCTAAGCATAAGAGAAAAAGATTATGAAAACCATTAGGAAGGTGAAATCATTGTTTTAGGTCAGTTTCAGTTTTAGACTATTTTGATGGGGCTTCTGTAATAAAAGATGAGATGATTAACTTCATTATAGTTTTCCCATCCCCTCTCCTTAATGACAAAATCAAGAGGTGTCATACGTTATTTTTACCTTGTCAGGGCTCGTAACATTCACATTCTAGCCTGCAGCTGTAACCGCCCCTCGCCCTAGTTTGCCCCCATCAGAATTGCGCCTGCAGTTTTGAGTTAGTGTCTGAGCACCATACTTAGAAGAAAAGTAGAGACATGTGATGGAGTGTCCCCAAGATGCTGTGGGGATGTGAGGCAGGGGCCCGTGTAGACACAGAATTCCGTCTGGGAGCTGAAAGAATGAAAGCTATGGATGAATGTACTGCTATCCTCCGTTCTTTGAAAAGATGTGTGTGTGGAAGCAGGATTGATCTTAACTCTGTGGATCCCTAGAAGGTTAGAACTAGGGCTGCGTGGACCTAAAGGACAGGGTGGCCGTTGTAGGTAGGCTGCCGTGGAGGGTGATGAGTTCCCTGTCAGCTGCAATGTGCTGGGGAACCACCTGTAAGCATGCTGTATGTAGGTGCTGGGCTCAGGCCATCAGCTGAAGCAGCTGTGTTCAGGTAACTTCCCAACCTTGAGATTCTGCTAGTCTAATAATGCTTCCCAGTAGTCTCCTCTCCTGGAGAGGAGCCTCAGTCACTCTGGTTCCCCCCTCCCTGCCTTCTGGGATAAGGGTGAGAAGAGCCAGAGCCATGATCAGGTGGTTCAGGGTAGAAAATGGTCTACATATCTTGAATTTGGACCCACCCATCTGTTGACTCAAAAAGTGATGCATCGATATATGGCTTAGATTCTGCCAAACTTGTTCCACTTGGTATCTGTAGTGTTTACAGGATCACAGGGACTGAGCACATTCATAACCCATTTCTGAGCTAATACACTTGTATGTACAGTAATCTGGGCAACATGTCGTAGACTGCAAAGGAAGAGAGCATATACTGTTTTCTGTATAATTGGAATTGAGTGTGCTGTCAGTGTCTTCATCAGATGTCTATCACAGCATGACTTACTGACGTATGGCTTTGTTTTGTTATAGGGGAGCTATCCAGTTTGGGAAGATTTCATAAACAAAGCCGGAAAGCTACAGTCCCAGCTTCGGTAAGTAGAAGCATGTCATCCCTAGGAAAACGGCAGCATCCTTAGACAAAGGATGGAATAGGATGGACCCAAGAGGCAAATTAGCGTTAGTTTTGGAAGTGTTGCAGATAGAGGAGCATGCAGTGGCGTTGCCACTTACTAGCCATGCGTCCTGACCTCTGATTCCCGTATGTAAAATTAAACTCATATCCGCTCTGCCTCCTTCCACTGGAATTTTGAGAGTCAGATGAAGTATTATATGTAAGGTAAGAATGGGCCAGGTTAAATCTCACATCCCCAAGAGATAAAGAGTCTTGTTACCCCATTTTGCTGATGAGGTAACTGAGGCACAGATAAGCTGAATAACTTATCCAAAGTGACACAGCTAGTATTGATAAATGACAGAGCAGGGAATTGATCTGAGGCAGTCTGGCTCCACAGTCCATTCTGATTACTGCCTACCCTTATAGAGTTTAAAACTTAGTTTGTATCATTCTATTTACATGAAATGTCTAGATAATGCAAATCTGTAGAGACAGATGTAGATTTGTAGTTTCCTGGGGCTAGGAGTGGAAAAGAAGGTTGACTGCAAATGGGCATGAGTGACCTTTTTGTGGTGATGGAAATGTTCTGAAATGGGATTGTGGTGGTGTTTGCATAACTCTAAATTTACTGAAAAATTGATGACTTATACACCTAAAAATGGTGAATTTTATGGTATACAAATTATGTCTCAATAAAACTGCTTAAAAACCAGGATCTAATGCTGATGTGCTCTAAGGGGCTATTATTATTGCCTCATCTTGTGCTTGTTAATATATCATTTCATATGAAATAGAAAATACGGCAACATCTTCTTGTTAAAGCTATATGCTTTTGAAATCAGTGAGGGGAGGGGTGCGATTGAACTTAGAGGGTGCTTCAAGAGGGTTGGGACATTAAAAAAAAAGCAGTTATTTTCACGACCCCTATTCACGGCGTATTGGTTGGTTTGGATGTATGGGGATGGTTTTCCAGAGGACAAAGCAGGTAGGTGTTTTCTGAGATAAAAAGCCATGCGGATGACAGAGGAGGGAGGAATGACATGGGCTTCTTAGGACTTTACCTGTTGGCACCAGGGGTCCCTGCCCAGAACTTTAGCCATAGGACTGGGCATTCCCTGGCTCCCCAGCAGATAAGGAGAGAAGAACTTGGGAGACGTGGAACTTTCCCTGCCCATCATTCAGCTTCATGGGGCCTGGGATTTCCAGATCCATGAGTGGGCATCCAGATGGACCATGGGCTCCAGCCTATGGCCCCTTTGCCACTTGTCAAGTCCTTTACCATTTCTTTGCTTACGAACCTTTGATTACTTTATCCTGGATCATATCCAAACCCCTCTGCCCCAGCTCTGCCGCTATCATCATTTATTTCAAATAGGTTAGTCTCCATCCTGTAGGAGGTCACCTCCTGTAGTAAAACAGTAAAACATTTAAGTCCAACCCCTCCTCCAACATTTTTTCTTATCCAGCCTCATTTAATTGTCTGACAGGTTTTCAGGGTTGACCAAGGAGAAGATGCTCTTCCCCTTTTACCAATGAGGATGCTAAAGTTTAAAATAATTAACTGATCAGCTGTCTTAAACATACAGAGTGAGACTTAAAGCAATCTTATCCCCACTGGTACAAAGTACCATATATATATATATATATATATTTTTTTTTTTTTAACAATACGTAGGCCTCCTGAGGGCAGGGACCGTTTCCTTATTTTGTTAAACTACTAGTACCTGGCTGAGAGCACCATAGGAGCCTCAAGCACATGGTTTAATTTTCTGTGTTAGGGAGTGCATAAGGATAAGACCGTAAAAGAGGCAAATAGTCTTGGAGCATGTAAGCTGAAGCACTCCTTTCTCCTGCTGATGGATGCATGTTTGCTCGGCCCCATTAGAGAGAGCTAAGATGTCCTGTGAAAAAAGCAGTCAGTGAAATATGGCTCATCGGAAGCCGGTGTTTAAAAGCTCTTAATTTGTCACACTTGACCACAGTCTTCGTTTTCACGGGAGCCCTGGTGACTGTGTAATACTCAAGGCACCTCTCCAGCTGTGGCTCATTAAATTTGGAAGATCGGCCTTGACTTGAATAAGAATAAACACAGCACTTGGATCAGATATTAATTATAAATCAGAATGAGCCATTTGTAAATCTCAGGGTGTTTGATAAAGCTAACTTTTCCATGGTGCCAACTCTTTAAGAAATATACTTTGAAGTGGTGTGTTTTTTTTGTTTGTTTTGGTTTTGTTTAGTGTGTATGTCATTGTGTTTTTTTTTTTTTTTTTGAGCAGAATGTTCTCTTGCTCTACTGGAAAATATCAGGCCTCTTTTTTTTTTTTTTTTTTTTTTTTTTTTTT